GCCATGAGTATGATGATGAAACAGGCATACAGTACTCCTAGAATCTTGTCGAACGCTTTCACTCATACACAAATCTATCAACATTAGAAAACTGGTAAGTTCACCTGAATACCTGAAACTGTTTGGATATACATTGTGAACATATAATACATATGCTGTTGCAAAGACTTCTATTACTCTGATCCTTCTAACACATATAGAACAGTGGAACAATGACAGTTGGATATTAACAAAATACGACTTCGTATTACTGTACATCCGCTTCAAATATCACCTTTAATATCAAAAAAACAGGTAAATAATTCAAGTCAGTCAATATTAACGTGGGACGTGGCATTACTGCTTAACAGTTCAAGTTGCGAAACCTGACAATAGCACATCAAGAAACAAGGTAACAAGATGGATGAAAGTCCTATGAGGACGCGTCTAAGCAAATGAGATCGGTTTCGACTTATATCATCAGGAGTCTTTTACTATTGATCCTGACTGTCAAGCGCATCGCAACCTAGAAGTCTACATTTCCTCAAATGAGCTCAAACAAAAGCTAGAGGCTTCGTGAACTGATGCTAGGTTTTAGTTTGGCTATCCTATCCTGAACCTTTTTCCAGACTAAACCTACTTCAGTTAACATTGTGCAGCACAGCAGACGATGACTAAGCATGCGCAACACATTTCCAAGTCATCTTAGTCAATGAATGTTTCAACCTAATTAGCTAACTTACCTCTCCTGCCTATTGCTCTACACCTGAATTACAAATGGCTGGTGTGGTGACTCCACAACGCGTGATCTATGCTACAAACAGGGGTGATAGTCTAAAGCATGAAGCCTCATTTTCTCCAAATTTAACATCCATGTTTTACAACCACATAGTGTGATAGAGGGAACTGTTGCTCAGTACACTTAACACTTCATAAGCAATCGGATATACCGCTGTTATCTGTCAGTTATGCTATACGTTAGAAAAATGCAATCAAGCCTTTTCATATCCACTCAGAGAGAGAGACTGACTAGCCGGCTGGGGTCCGCGAGACAAGAGAAACCAGTGGCTGCAGACTGACTGTAGGTGATATGGCTCACAACCCATGTCAGTGGCGCAGATGCATCCCCACATACATTATCCTCATCTTAACGCTATACCGAATATCACCATCTTCTCATTATTCCTTTCTTTCCTTTAATACTTTCTTTTGACAAAATTCCATTTTCTTCATCTCCCACTTCACTACCTTTTTATCTGCTATACTGATATGACGTGTCGCAACTCGAACTGTTACGAAGTAATGCTCGGTACTATGTTCGTGATGATGGTATTCACTCAGAGATTTCTTCGTTCATCGACCCGTTAGTGCTGATGCGACTTCCAAGGTAAGTGAAGTTGCGAATGTCAGCAACTGGTTCACTTTCTACCGTTAGACGAGGCATCAACTCACGCTCCAGTTATGCAGTGACTATTTGTCTTTGAGGGGTGAAAAACGTGTACCAAACATTCTCCAAATTTTTCCTAGGGTATTCACAACTTTTTATATTTTGTCAGTATTTTCACCTAATACAACTATGTCATCCGTATACGCTAAGCTTACTTAAGAGTGTTCTGTAACAAAATCAGTCCACAGGTAAACAGGGACAAATATACAAATATACAAAACATTAGAATCTTCAAGGTTTACATAGAGCAACGGCTCAGATGAATTTCCCTTGTCACTCAAAGCCGTCAACTATCAATATCAATTAACTTGTAAACTCAGATCACGAAGGAGATATTTCTTCAACTGCCGAAGACAAAACGCGGATACGTTCATCGGCTGATATCACATCTTAGTATCGTGGTTCTCGATCTTTTTCAAATCCAATCGTATTCCAGTTAACAGTACAAGTTAAACTAAGTTTTATACCGGCACCCACCTACCTGTAACTTAGCAATGAACTTGCCTTCTTTGCATCACACTTCATACCTAAAATCTATATTCCTCACATGATGATTCCGTCACACTTAAACGATATTATAAAGTCAGTGGTCGTCAATTACTTAAAGCAGTAGAAAATTACTCATTCTCGATAGTCATGTTATATAGAGAATTGCTATCTAGTGAACTTTATCCTTAACATGTTCGCACCCTAGAAATTCTCCCGTTGTTCACAGTACTGACAATCTCTTAACTTCAGTAGGGATGGGGGAGGCAGTTCGATATCAATAACCTATTCACAAAACAACAGAATACTAGGCAGTTGAAGAGTAGCTGCTATCCAATTCAGTTGTTTCTAAAAACATTCTTCTTCTTTTTTATCCACCCTATAAATGAGTACCTCTTCTTCAAACTACCTTTTCCCACAATCATAAACTTCATTGCCTTCATATTGTAATTATTGTACACACAAATTAGTATCAACAAGTAATAACATCTAATTATGATGTAACGCATGCATTTGGTTATTAATCAATACTCCTTCACGAATACAATACGCCTTTTCTACTAGGAATTGTTTCAGTGATAGAACAGTAAATCTTTTAAATAGATCTGTACAGTATATTAAAATAAATTGTAATAAAGACACAATTCTGTCAATTATCAAAACGAACCGTTAATATTAGTAGACAATACTATATCACGAAACCTTGAGAATATATGCACACAAACAGTCATTTTTCTTATTTTAGGTTGAGTCCACTTCGTCGTAGTTAACAGTTGTGAGAATGCCCAAGGTTGAGGATGCTATCAACCTTCATCAACTCGCCAGTATCGAGGCATCCTCATAGGAGTCAAAAGAGGTCGAGCAATTCAACCACGTACAGCAACGGGAAACGAAAAGTATCAAACAACAACAAACGATACCCGTTGAACATGTGCTGACTTTCGTGTCCCAGCGACCCAATGGATAACATCTTGACGTTTGGAGTGATGGGCACTGGGTCCGAGTCTCAATGAGAACAACATTCTCACTAGGGTCCACACACATAGAGCTGATAACTCTTCAACTGCACGAAAAGCACATCCAGGATTCCATTGCGAGTCACTAAGATGAATACAAATCCATCAAACTAGTTAGCTTGAATGTGTTATGCATGCCAAGTCACAGCCTACCTAACGGTAGAATGTTATTTCAATCACAATCACCCTAAAAAAATGAAGTAGGGTAAGGTGAAAAGTTAATGTCAGTCCACAAAGTTGCTGACTGCTACTCTCACCTGAGAGCTGCAGTGTGACCGACCTGGCTTCAATCCACAAAATGTCAGCAGTCAGCGATATCCTTCACGAAATGATACAAAATCACGTTGCTGTAGATGTATTCAGTCATCATTGACGAAAATTTCAAAATATTATCATCATTTTGTACTGTTTCAAAATCCAGCAACTTCAAATCATCCACTTCTATGCAAAATTCCATCTTATCCATCAGTCAGACAGAGTTCTTTAGATATAAATATTGAATAAATCAAAGCAATGTGACACATTTAAATCCAGTACATGTTTATATACCAAGCTATGAGCCAAACTTGGTGTGTATGCAGGCTTATGACATTATTCAATAGCCTAGGCTCAAGTAAGTCGGGCCAGGATCAAACCTGCAACCCACTGCTTGAAAGTCAGGTTCCCAAGCCAATGAACTAGATCTCCAACAAATGAATCCAAGCTGGATACAGGAAGTGAGAAAAGTCTTCTTTTGAAAACCATAGGGGAATTAGTAAAAGATTTCATCAACTGATGCCGCATCTTGGCATGGCCACCCTGAACCCCCCTTCCAACTTAATCCAACTTCCCCTGTTCATTTGAGTTGTGTGGGCAGATACATACTGCCTGATTAGGGCCCTCGAAACAAAGGCAATCGGTGTTTGAGGACTCTCGGTGGTATACCTGAAAATCAGTCACAAATGCGCACATCTATTCACTCCCTCACGTCTTATTTAACTTGAATATTCACACTAACCGTTGTTCTCTGACATTATCTACATATCACCTTCTTGTTATACATCTGTGTGCGAGATTCCATGTCGACGTCCTCATTCAAGCACCCAGTCAAATATGCAATAAACCGACAGCAAACGTTGTTCAATTGAAAAATTCTGCAAACACATTTTACTCTATCAGACTATTAACATCTGCATTTGTTGTGTGGTAACATATACCACTTCATTAGTAGCCACACAACATTTCTATATCCAAATAAACCAACTTTTTATAATTGATTTTGTCTGCGGTTAGACTTGAAAGTTACACCACGCACTTCAGTAGGTGAAACTACACCCAACCAGCCGACATTATTTCGACCAAAACACTTCTGAATGATCAGGATGATTTAAACATCACCCTACCCACGAGTACGGACAGAACTACATCAGGTTTCCAGGTCTCTTTCATATATCAGCTTATTGCAAACCTCAGTATTTACCTAAATAGGGAATACAGTCACCAGAACCGCTACTTTCCACTTCCAATCGCGTCAATCAGATACTCAAAGCCTAAACTCTGAATCACAAGTTGTCAAAACTATCACATCATAAAACAGCGTGAAATGTCTCTTCGTAAGCAGACTAAGAAGAACAGATCCTAGAAACAGACTTCGCTTAAACAGTTTACACATACAACATTAGTCCAATAGGACAGGAAACTAATGGCATCACCAAAAATAACAACCTGGAATTCATAGCTCACTTTTCAATAGTTAACATTAAACATGATTAGTCTCACTAAATCGTCCAAAACTAGTCCGACATTTCAGAAACAATGCCCATCGAATATAAAATATATGAAACACATCCTGCATTCATTAAACTAGCAACCTATAACTAGCTATAGCTTGTCACCTTAACATTGACACTACCTAGACGCAAGAAATTAACTTAACCTTAATTCTGCGCCTCCTTACTTCACTTAGTCAGAGGAAATTTAAGCGATTCCTAGATTCGTAGGTAAAAAATACTTCAACCGAAAATGTCATAACAAAACACCAATGCCTACGGCCATGACGTAAGAAAAATTATTACACTAACCAAACAACGTACCAAATTCTTTTACGCTAGTCCCATCGAAGAATGAAGCTTAAATCATGACATAATAACACGCCTACAAACACAAATCATCTAGACGCAGGAGTGTTCTGCAGCTGAGTGACACATTATTCGAATTCAAATAAGAAGGAAATGAGAATATATTAATTCCATGGCATTAGGAACAGTCCAACATCCAATAGTAAACACAAGACTACAAACGATATACTTTGTACTCATTCAAGAAGACAAAGTAAGATGCTACACTGAACCACGCGGGTTCGAAGGTTATTAGCAGTAGTTGTTTGTAGGTGGTGCATAAAAACAAATCGTGTTATTGTTTCTAACTTTTCAAATACTTCTAAAGTAAGGTGATGAGACTCATCATTCAACGAGATTTTGCGTAATGTGATACAATCAGCGTTAATCGGTCAACGAAAGGAAACTGGTAGTTTGGAATATTCACTTTTCATACAACATCGGTGGTTGAATCCAATATCCAATATTGATAGTGCGAGCGTAGAAAACTAGTAGTTTTTGATCTCTCGCGTCTAGTTCTTAGGGCTTGGTTCCAGTTGTTCGGTTCACTCCTGCAGTGGACGAGGAAATCCCCTCTGCTTTCTTGCTTTTAGCTTCGGTGAGGTGGATGTTTTGTGGGTTAGTAGGTTGTAATTTGTAGAGTGATTAGGGAGCTACGGGCTGCTGGGAAGTTTAGAGAACAACCGTGACTCCTGTCTGTGTAGGTACCTGAAAGAGAATATTAAGGTAGTGGTAAAGGAATGAAGAGAGAAATAAGGAAGAGTAAAAAAAAAAATAAATAAATAAATAAATAAAATAATAAAAAATAAAATAAAAAAAAAAATAAAAAATAAATAAAATTAAAAATAAAAATAATAGTAATAATAATGTAGGGAAGAGGAAAGGGAAGGAGAATAAAAGAAGGGGTGAAGAGAGAAATGAGAACGAAAGAAAAGTATTTGGGAATTGCCCGAATGGTCGCGTGGGTTTGGTTCCTACAGAAGAATTAGTAGGTAATGTGGGTGTATTAAGGAGAGAGATAGTGAGTGGTAGTTAGGAGGGAGTTGGGGGTACTGAGGTTGGTGACTACCTGAGTACGTCCGTGGTAGTCCATGCGAGGTGACATAACTGTCTAATCGCCTCTTGAAAGAGTCGATTGAAGGAGCTATAACGATGTGTCGCGGTAAGGCATTCCATAAAGCACATACTCTCAGGGAGAAAAATTTGGACCTGAGTGTGGTGTTGGCTCTCTGGTGTGCTATCTTAAAGGGGTTTCCTCGTGAAGATCGTTCAGTTGCAGGCAAAATTGATTTGTTTGCATGGTCTGCCTGATGGGCGATCTTGTATGCCATAATGAGGTCACCCCTTTTCCTGCGATAACCCAAGGTAAATAGGTTGAGGTGTTTAAGTCTTTCAGGATACGTCTTTCCCCTTAGCCCCACAACTGATTTTGTTGCAGTTCTTTGTATTCTTTCAAGGAGATTAGAGTCTCTCTTGAGTGTTGGAGGAGCCACCGTATTGAAGACCTCTAGGTGCGGCCGCACGTAGGATTTGAAAATGGTAAGGAAGAGTTCGGGAGTGAGGGCGCCAAGCTGTCTACGCAGAAAGTGTAGAATGGCGTTCGCTCTGGTTGTCATACCTTTGTAGTTGGAGCTGGTGTCCAAGGTGTCGGAGAAGTTGAGCCCCAAATCTTTCTCCATGGACACTCTGGTGATAGCACGGTTGCTCAACATGTACTGGAAGTCGGTCGTACTTGCCTCATTTTTACTGATGTGCATTACTTTGCACTTTTCCAGTTGAAGCTCAGACCATTTTCCGACGACCAGAGCTCGAGTTGCTGCAAGTCCTTTTGTAGTGCTGCACAGTCGGCTTCTTCGTTTACCACCCTCCAAATTTTTATGTCGTCAGCGAAGAGGAGGATGGGTGAGGATATTTTGTCTGGCAGATCGTTGACAAACAGGAGGAACAGAAGCGGTCCTAGGATTGCTCCTTGGGATACTCCTGACGTCGACGGTCTCCACTCCGACCTTATTCTGTTCACTTTAGTGCAGAACTGCCTCCCTTCCAGGTACTCCTTGAACCAAGAGAGTAGGGGTCCACTTATACCAGCTGACATGATCTTGTGAAGCAGTACTGTGGGTGGGACACTGTCAAATGCTTTGGCTAGGTCGAGAAATACAGCATGTACAGGTTTTCTATTATCCCAGCTTTGTGTCCAGTCGTCCCAGGCAGTTAGTAAGTTGGTGGCACATGAGCGACCACTACGAAAGCCGTGCTGAGCAGTGTGGACAGTGTTTTTCTATTGAGGAATTCCCAGATGGTGTCAGCTACCAGGCTTTCCAACACTTTCGACACAATAGGGAGTAGGGCAATCGGCCTGTAGCTGCCAGGGTTTTTTCTGTCTCCTCCCTTGAAGATGGGTGACAAGATGGCACTCTTCCATTCTTTAGGGAGTTTGCACGAGTCTATTGAGTGCTCAAAGAGGTTGCGAAGTGGTTTGGTAAGCACCTCGGCGCAGTTTTTCAGAACCACTGGTTTCAGATTATCGCAGCCAGGGGACTTGCCCGGACGTAGCCTAGATAGCTTCTCGAACACCTTTTTCTCTGTAATAGAGACGTGACAGAGGTATTCGTTATTTGCGACCTGGTCGGTGTCGTGGCGAGTCGGTGTGGATCTTGTGTCAGTGCTGAGTTGGGCTTGGAAGTGTGAGCTCAAAAGCTCGGCAATCTCTAGACTGCTTAGCACACTCCCGTCATGGCCTGTGACAAGATTCACTCCCTTACTGGTCGACTTTCTTCTTGACATGAAGCGGTACAGGTTTTTGGGGTTGCTTTGTAACCTCGCTGCCAAGTTTGTTTGGTAGGAAAATCTGTCGTTACGCACTCTAATGTTACAGAGATTGCGAATCCTTTTATAGTTCAAGAAGTCAGACTCCCTGCGTGATGTAAGCCACTTGAACCAAGCCTGTTTCTTGCTCCGGATAAGCCTCTCTGTCCCACGCTTTAACCATGAGGTTCTCATTGATTGTCTGTGTGTTACTTCTGGTACACTGTGACTGATGGCCCCAGTGATTATTTTCTTCACCTCCAACCAGTGTTCATCTATTGTGAGATGAGTCCAGTCCACTGGCCATGATGCATTCATGAGGTAGTCCCTCATGGTCTCATAGTTGGCCTTGCTGTAGCAAGGGAAGGTGTTGGGCGTCTCCAGTTGCAGAGCCTCCCTAGTTATCATGGAGAAGGTGATTACAGCGTGGTCACTGAGGCCAAGGGGAGGTTGGATGCAAACATCCTCAATGAGAAGTTCATCGTTCGTCAGAACGTAGTCAAGGCGCGATGCGTTTCCGTTAGGTCCCCAGCGTGTAGCATCACCCACTTTCTCTGAGAGGCCAGCAGTCTTAATTGCATCCTTCAGCTTCTGATTGAAGGATCTGATGCGTCTCCCTTCCGTCTCGAAGAGGATGGACGGGGTGTTGAAGTCGCCGGCAATGACTACGGAATCGTAATTTGCAGAGGAAGTCGTTAAGATAGCCTTGATGATCATTTCCTTATGTGTAGGGGAGCAGGTGGGGGACCGATATATGACTCCGAGCAAATATTTGGTACTGTGGAGAGTGAAGTAGCACCATAGGGACTCTGGGACCTGGGTTAAGGCCGTATCGCTAACCATCCTTGCCTTTAAACAAGAGTTTACGTAGATAGCCACTCCCCCTCCTGCTCTATGTTCCCTGTCCCTGCGGAAGAGTTCCATGCCAGTAACATGCATCTCTTCGTCGGAGATGTCTGGCGAGAGCCAGGATTCGGTGATGAATATGATGTCGGAGTGCTGATGTGCACGCAGCGTCCTCATTTCTGCTACCTTCCCTCTTAGCCCCCTAACGTTGCTGTACATACATATTAGAGTGTGCCTGGTGAGGGGGGAGGTCTGGTTGTGTATTTTCGCAGGATGACAGCTTATGTGGTTGGGTCTACCCTCGCCAGTCCTCATAGGACTGGCATTGTTCCGTTTTTTGGTGTTTCGTTATTAACTTGGGTGGGGGCTGTGGCAGTGGTGGCTTCTTTACTTGATGTATCTAACTCACTGGTCAGCGCCTGTGTGACGACCACTGACTCCAGGGTCTTGGTGGTTGTCGTCTCTCCTCTTGCCTTGTGGGTCTAGGCTTACTTTCACATATACGTATTGAGCCACCCATGCGATCCTTCGCATTATACCATGCCTGTAGAACGTCTGTGAGGGAGGCATGTGAGTCGAACTGGACGGCGAGTAGTCTGGGATTGGGTATGGTCTTCAGGTGCGCTGGCCTTGGCAGTCTACTGACGCTGTTGGCCGGTATGCTGTTGAGACCAACTTTGGTTGAGAGCCATTGCCATTGTTGGACGTCATGAAAGTACCGATCTTTGACCGAGCGGTCACTTGGCAATTCTGGAATCCCATGTACAACTATAGTGTTGTTTCTGTTGGGATTTCCAACCGCTGACTTTCTCTCCTCCTCTCTTATTGACCATGGCTTGTCAGGCCTGGCCCGAATTTTACAGGCATTAACAACGTCCGGTTGTCGCGAGAGGAGGAGTGTGTCTTCAGCCTCTTTGGTAGTATTTAGGGACACACGTAGAGGGGGTGGCTTATCTCGGGGTGCACGGCTTCCTCGAGAAAGGCGACATAAAGTTGCAGGGAGGGGAGGGAGTCCTAGCATCTGACAGTAGTCGGTCCACATTCGGCTGTCAAACCGTTCCCTCTCGACCAACAATGAGTCTGTCGATACATCGACGTTGAACAAATGATCAGTTAAATGACGAAAACGTCTGTACAGAAGCGTGCAAATTACCTTAAACAGTCAAGCCTGAAAAAGCTGCATGCCCCGTCAACCAAGGAAAAACGCAACGCTATACTTTTAGCGAAACACTACTAACGCAATTCAAATAAGAAGGAAATGAGAATATATTAATTCCATGGCATTAGGAACAGTCCAACATCCAATAGTAAACACAAGACTACAAACGATATACTTTGTACTCATTCAAGAAGACAAAGTAAGATGCTACACTGAACCACGCGGGTTCGAAGGTTATTAGCAGTAGTTGTTTGTAGGTGGTGCATAAAAACAAATCGTGTTATTGTTTCTAACTTTTTAAATACTTCTAAAGTAAGGTGATGAGACTCATCATTCAACGAGATTTTGCGTAATGTGATACAATCAGCGTTAATCGGTCAACGAAAGGAAACTGGTAGTTTGGAATATTCACTTTTCATACAACATCGGTGGTTGAATCGTAGGAAACTCATAATTTTTGATCTCTCGCGTCTAGTTATTGGGGCTTGGTTCATGTTGTTTGGTTCGCTTCTGCAACGGACACGAAAATCCCCCTGCGTTTCTGATTTTAGCCCCGTTGAGGGAAGTGTTTTGTGGGTTAGTGATTGCGACTTGTATATTGATTGGGGAGCTACGGGTGGCTGGAGCGATCAGAGGTCTGTCACGACTCCCGCCTGGGTAGGCGCCCTAATGGGAATGACAAGGCAGCAAGAACCGTTATTCGGGAACCACCTGAAAGGTAAAAGTAGACGGCGGTATGGGTCTAGTTGCCAGAGGAGAGGTAGTAGGTAATGCAAGTGCATCGACAAGAGAGATGGACTGGTGAATAAGGAGGAAGCAGTGGTGGGCTAGTGGGCCCACTGACTCTCTGAGTGTGCCAGTGGTAAGACATGTGAAATGACATGAATGCCCAAACGTCTTTTGAATGGGCCTACTGAGAGGGCTGTTGTGCAGCTCCGTGGCACCAAAATAATGCTGGTCCTGAAATGATTGAGTAAACATTCAAGATATCTAAATACTGGCCAAAAGACCATACGCAGCGGCGACGGGTAACTTTGGTCCCCTAAGTTTGTTTTGGTGTATGGGCATCCACACGTCGACATTCGCCAATTTTGGTGAAAATGTATGCAAGGAGAGACACTCTGATCTCTATCATCATAGCATTATGTGCATCACTTTGTATCTGTGCGTAACATGCAGTTGTACCCTTGTCCCATTCTGACTCTGTTTCTCTTCGTTTCAGACCAGTAGAAGCCTGTTGCATCCGACACAAGTTGGGTAAGAGTGATACCGATTGGGTCGCTCACCTGTTTCTTGCACCGATACCCCCGTACATTTTCCCTGTTGCTTTGGCTTCGCTCAGGGAACAGATGGAGGCTTCGTGTTATCCACCATCACTGTAAGAAGGGTTGCACCCAGGCACAAAGTCCTCGTACCTCGTAGGTGCGCACAGTTGCACTAGCTTCGGGGACAGACGCGTCGTCTGAAATACGGGAAGGTGTGGGGTATCAGCCTCACAGTTGTCTCCAAGGGTCAAGGATTGTCGGCTACGCAACAACCACCTAAGAGAGGGATAACCCGCGGTGCACATTCTTGGCACTAAGACGATTCCAGGCTTAGAATGAATGAATGAACATTTGAAATATCTAAACAATGGCCAAATAATCTTCCACCACGACGAGGAGTAAATTTAGTTCCCTTAGTTTGTTTCAGTGCATTGGCATCGTCACGTTGGCATTCTCTAGTTTTGAGTCTCTTTGTTCCGGTCGGCAGGAGGTAGCTCGGAGTCTCTAGCTTGGTTGTTATTAGATAGATAAGTTCACACTCCTCTCTTAATCCAACCTCTTATTCTCCGACTAATTAATAAACTGTTTGTCTGAGTACCTTTGACTGCATACCGTGATTTCTGATTTGCGTTTGCCATTGGTACTTACATGTGGGTATGGTATTGATAGTTGGGTACCGGGACACGTCAATTTGTACAAGACTGGCTAGGCGTCGGGAAATAGCAACACAGCCAAGCTAGCTTGGAAGGCTGTGACTACATGCCACGGTAGGGCATCTCGTAAAGTATATACTCCTAAGGAGATAAAGTTAGACCTGAGCCTGAGATTACCTCTCTGATGTGCTATCCTGGGGAAGTTTCCTCGCGATGACCACCATGTTTCAAGCAGGATTAGTTTGTTTGTTCGGTACCCTCCAAATTTTGATGTCATCGGTGGGGAGGAGGACGGGTGAGGATATTTTGTGTGGCCCACCGTTGACTACTGCTCCTTGGGATACCGCTGATGTCGACAGTCCCCGCTCCGACCGTACTCTGCATATGCTGGTGCACAACTGTCTGTCTTCTGGGTACACCCTGAACAAGGGGACTAGAAATGCGCCTGTGCCGGCTGGCACGACCTTGTGAGGCAGGATTGGGGACGCGACATCGTCCAATGCTCCAGCCAGGCGGAGAAAAATGATATGTTTCGGTTTTCTGTCGTACCAGCCAAACGTGCAGCCGTCCCAGGCGGTCAGTAGGCCGACGGTATATAAACGACCACTTCGAAAGACATGTTGAGAAGTACGAATGGTGCCTTCCCCGCTAAGGAACCCCCAGACCTCGTTGGCTAGCAGGCTTTCTAGTGCTCTGAACGGTATAGGAAGTGGCACAATTGACCCGTAGCTGCCGGGACTCGTTCCGTCTCCTCCCTCGAAGATGGGTGACAAGATAGTGCACCACCGTCATATAGGAAATCCACACGACTCTAGCGAGTGCTTGAAGAGGTTGCAGATTGGCTCTGCGAGTGTGTCACCACCGTTCTTTAGGATTACCGGTCTCAGGTCGGTGCAACTGGAAGACTTGCCTGAACGAGGCCCAGGCGGTTTTCCCGACGCATTTTTCTGTTTGATGGAGATGTGGCAGATGCATTCCTGTATTTACAATCTGATCAACATCGTATGGTACCGGTGCAGATTTAGTGTCAGAAGTACTACGTTACGCTTCGAAGTGTGAGTTCAGAAGCTCAGCCACCTCCAGGCTCCTCAGTACATCTCCATTAGGATCTGTGATAGGGTTTACTCCTTTGGTGATCGACTTCTTTTTCTTTCTTCAGGTTTGGTAATCTCGTTCACATTACGCTAATTCCGCCTACAAGGAGAATTTTCTTCCATTCTTGCTTCCAACTCCGGGAATGTGACATTTTGTTGGTGAGTTTGTATGTTCGCTTGCATATTGGGTATGAAGGGAATCCGTGGGCCCCCAGTAGGATATTAAGGATATCATTGAAATGTTTGTTTTTGTAGCTACCTAAAGACGGGTAGGATGAGTTCAGGGGGGGAAAGGTTGGGGTAAATAGCTGAAGAGCATTGAAATATGGTCGTTTGTTTCGACAGTTAACCGAAATGTTGGGTGTCGAATTGACACGTGACATAGCATATCGACCGGATTTCAACGACATAGTGAGAAGTTTTCACAAGGAGCTCATGGTCTCTGAGATTTTCACGGCAGGTAGCGTTAAGTGGGTGAAAACTTTACTCATCGTTCCATTCTGAATACGAGCTACAATCGAGGAAGTCATTAGCTGCTGAGCATCAGAGTTATTTTATGGAAGCACACTGAGTTTGCCTGGTGAGCGCATTAACGAGGCAGTTGGAACCTCGCAATATGCAACTAGCTTCTGGCATTAGATGAAGCGACGCGTGAATGATCAGAAGCGTACTCCCCTGGGACAGCAGAAACGTAAATTTGTCCCCCCTGACGAGCTCTCCAAGTCTACACATATCTCCGCCAGACACTATGCCGTTCGAAAACCACCCCAACTGCCTTATGATTGCCCACTTAAAGTATTCAATACGATGAACAGCATGTTTGCCGTACAGAAGTCAGATAGACTTGGACATGTTAGTGTTGAGAGAATAAAACCAGTCTTCTTTGAAGACGGACTTCAGCAGAAAATAGAATTCCCCTAGTCCGCATTATTTGACGAAGGCATTACTGCAAGTGAATCGGCAGAACAAACTATTAAACTGCCATTTCACCGTGAAAGAAGCCCACTCTCTGGGAAAAACTTTCACCGGCCAAAAAATATGTAGAAACAATAATATCGTGGCGGTGAATAACCCTTCAAATTCAGTGGCTTAGGATTCCGCAAGATTCAACATTGATGCTGACCTTCGTAGTTTTCGCGAACTCGCCAAGCCGAGAGCACACAGCCAAGCATCCACTCCATGTGGCGTTCTGTCATGTTATATTGCGCTTCTCTCATGCGACCTCCTAGAAAGTTGGTTGAGACTCATCGGCATTTTGCAAGGGCTAACATCTACACTATTCCATCATCTTACTGTATTGTGTTCCTTCCTGATCTTGCACTCGTTGGTACATAACAAGTACGAATAACTAGCGACTAGCCCTGCATCTCTCAAATTGCGTCAGGATCAATTTCTGAACTGGCGAGTCCGTTCCCTTTTGTGCTTGTGGATAGCTGCTTTTATATTGATAACCTTTGTTTACTCATATCATAAGGGTCCTTGTTAATATGCGACTAGACCCCTAAACTCATCCGCATTGACTGCATCCTGCACCCAGAATGTGCTATATTGGGCTTGAAACGCAGATTTTTCTTCCGCTCTTGCTCCTATATTTGGGAATGGGACATTTTGTTGGTGAGTTTGTATGTTCGCTTGCATATTGGGTATGAAGGGAATCCGTGAGCCCCCAGTAGAATATTAAGCATATTATTGAAATGTTTATTTTTGTAGCAACCTAAAGATATATAGGGTGAGTTCAAGAGAGAGAGGGTTGGAGTAGCTAGGTGAGGAGCGTTTAATTCAATATGAATGTCTACTGAAGACCGTATGAAATAACTTTTTGTTGCTATCGTTTCAGAGACTTTACTGAAGAGTCCGTCAATCTGCCAAGCAATCGCACGTTCTCAATAACCCGCACTTTCAGGGGAAATAAGTCAAACCAAATACAGGTCTTAGCTATCTGATATTCCATTCTACCAGGGTTATCTTTTAACAGTTGTTTCGAGGACGGAAAGGTTGGTCTATTTAGGATTGCTGGCTTGGCGACTGATCTCACCAACCGCGATTGGGTCGGTCCAATTTCGCCTATAGCTTAATATTAACAGACGGAGGTTTCCGTGTTGGTTGAGGTAGGTTCTCCTCCTGGATCACCAACTGATTTCGTCGCCACCCTCTATACTTTCTCAAACGGACTGCAGCTGGGCTTGGGCTGGACAAGTTCTGCTGGAATGCCTGCCCCCATCCGAGACCCAGTGTTTGTGCTAAAAATAGCGTGAGACGGTTTTGGAGTGAAGGAGTCATGTTGCCCAGACGGTCGGCACTGGATAGTACTTTCTTTCGCTGTCATTCCATATGATTTTGACTGGCGTTTACTTCATTGCGGAATTTTATTCCTATTTCCCTTGTGGTGAGCACAGTGGAACGAAATTGCAACTTGACAGGAGCAAATTCGTTACCTGTGGCGTCGACGTGCATAGATGATGACAGCCTCCCCATCAGGCAACAATGATTTGAAGCATTACATCGCCTTTCGCGGGTGACAAATCGTTTACCCAGTGGCTGAAGAACAGTGAGTCCGTTTTCCTTCTCCGTTGGCCATAGTTTCATTGTGGTACCAAAGACCGTGCTTTCATACAAACCGTTATGATGCCTCCGATCCTTGGGTGGTTTGTTCTGACAGGAATTTGCTTCCGGAGAACTCATACAGACAGACGAATAATGAGATGTGGTGGACGTTGCGGATATACGTGGATAGTAGTTTGTGAATTTTGCAATTACTTCAAGGAATAATTGCAGCCTAAGGCTCTTAATTTCACCAAGCGGGAAGCACAGATTCATCTGACAGTCGTCAATCTTAAAATGATGCCTTGGTGTTGTCTGAACAGACAAGGATTCGCGAAATGCTGTGCATCGCGGTGCCGGCAAGATAACCTGAGTGTATTCTCCAAGCTTCGGGTGGCATTGTATGATTAACTGGGACGATAAACAGATGATAGAAGACCAGGCGTTTGACCACAGCATGCTGCTGAGAAACGAGAGATCTAGAGAACTGCATTTACTGCGGGACCACCCTGTCATCCGGATTTGGCTAACCTCGTGCCAAGCTGCGGATTGGCCGGTCGTTGATATCCAGCACACGTGTCGCGCGGTGTTACTTATGGATCTTAGTGGTTGGTTGGACGAAACCGGGAGTAAGCTCTGGTCCTGGGTCTCGCGATTGTTAGCATTCGTCAGCAGGGCACATCTGCAACAACAAAGGAGCTGACGACTTAAGTTGGACTTCAAGCCGCACCACGCAGAATCGTAGCTAGAGACTTTACCACTGAGCCTGAGTCCAACAGGAGGTCAGTCTCAGCACAAAGGCCTCCGTCGCATAGGTTCTGACTATACCAATGGGCGACGCAGGTTTGTCTCAGGTGGGACATCTGTTTCGTCAAGGCCGTACACATGCCCCACTGACGAGCGCCAGCGAGCACGAGACCTAGGACCAGCTTGGCGAGTCCGCGAAAACTACGAAGGTCAGCATCAATGTTGAATCTTGCGGAATCCTAAGCCACTGAATTTGAAGGGTTATTCACCGCCACGATATTATTGTTTCTACATATTTTTTGGCCGGTGAAAGTTTTTCCCAGAGAGTGGGCTTCTTTCACGGTGAAATGGCAGTTTAATAGTTTGTTCTGCCGATTCACTTGCAGTAATGCCTTCGTCAAATAATGCGGACTAGGGGAATTCTATTTTCTGCTGAAGTCCGTCTTCAAAGAAGACTGGTTTTATTCTCTCAACACTAACATGTCCAAGTCTATCTGACTTCTGTACGGCAAACATGCTGTTCATCGTATTGAATACTTTAAGTGGGCAATCATAAGGCAGTTGGGGTGGTTTTCGAACGGCATAGTGTCTGGCGGAGATATGTGTAGACTTGGAGAGCTCGTCAGGGGGGACAAATTTACGTTTCTGCTGTCCCAGGGGAGTACGCTTCTGATCATTCACGCGTCGCTTCATCTAATGCCAGAAGCTAGTTGCATATTGCGAGGTTCCAACTGCCTCGTTAATGCGCTCACCAGGCAAACTCAGTGTGCTTCCATAAAATAACTCTGATGCTCAGCAGCTAATGACTTCCTCGATTGTAGCTCGTATTCAGAATGGAACGATGAGTAAAGTTTTCACCCACTTAACGCTACCTGCCGTGAAAATCTCAGAGACCATGAGCTCCTTGTGAAAACTTCTCACTATGTCGTTGAAATCCGGTCGATATGCTATGTCACGTGTCAATTCGACACCCAACATTTCGGTTAACTGTCGAAACAAACGACCATATTTCAATGCTCTTCAGCTATTTACCCCAACCTTTCCCCCCCTGAACTCATCCTACCCGTCTTTAGGTAGCTACAAAAACAAACATTTCAATGATATCCTTAATATCCTACTGGGGGCCCACGGATTCCCTTCATACCCAATATGCAAGCGAACATACAAACTCACCAACAAAATGTCACATTCCCGGAGTTGGAAGCAAGAATGGAAGAAAATTCTCCTTGTAGGCGGAATTAGCGTAATGTGAACGAGATTACCAAACCTGAAGAAAGAAAAAGAAGTCGATCACCAAAGGAGTAAACCCTATCACAGATCCTAATGGAGATGTACTGAGGAGCCTGGAGGTGGCTGAGCTTCTGAACTCACACTTCGAAGCGTAACGTAGTACTTCTGACACTAAATCTGCACCGGTACCATACGATGTTGATCAGATTGTAAATACAGGAATGCATCTGCCACATCTCCATCAAACAGAAAAATGCGTCGGGAAAACCGCCTGGGCCTCGTTCAGGCAAGTCTTCCAGTTGCACCGACCTGAGACCGGTAATCCTAAAGAACGGTGGTGACACACTCGCAGAGCCAATCTGCAACCTCTTCAAGCACTCGCTAGAGTCGTGTGGATTTCCTATATGACGGTGGTGCACTATCTTGTCACCCATCTTCGAGGGAGGAGACGGAACGAGTCCCGGCAGCTACGGGTCAATTGTGCCACTTCCTATACCGTTCAGAGCACTAGAAAGCCTGCTAGCCAACGAGGTCTGGGGGTTCCTTAGCGGGGAAGGCACCATTCGTACTTCTCAACATGTCTTTCGAAGTGGTCGTTTATATACCGTCGGCCTACTGACCGCCTGGGACGGCTGCACGTTTGGCTGGTACGACAGAAAACCGAAACATATCATTTTTCTCCGCCTGGCTGGAGCATTGGACGATGTCGCGTCCCCAATCCTGCCTCACAAGGTCGTGCCAGCCGGCACAGGCGCATTTCTAGTCCCCTTGTTCAGGGTGTACCCAGAAGACAGACAGTTGTGCACCAGCATATGCAGAGTACGGTCGGAGCGGGGACTGTCGACATCAGCGGTATCCCAAGGAGCAGTAGTCAACGGTGGGCCACACAAAATATCCTCACCCGTCCTCCTCCCCACCGATGACATCAAAATTTGGAGGGTACCGAACAAACAAACTAATCCTGCTTGAAACATGGTGGTCATCGCGAGGAAACTTCCCAGGATAGCACATCAGAGAGGTAATCTCAGGCTCAGGTCTAACTTTATCTCCTTAGGAGTATATACTTTACGAGATGCCCTACCGTGGCATGTAGTCACAGCCTTCCAAGCTAGCTTGGCTGTGTTGCTATTTCCCGACGCCTAGCCAGTCTTGTACAAATTGACGTGTCCCGGTACCCAACTATCAATACCATACCCACATGTAAGTACCAATGGCAAACGCAAATCAGAAATCACGGTATGCAGTCAAAGGTACTCAGACAAACAGTTTATTAATTAGTCGGAGAATAAGAGGTTGGATTAAGAGAGGAGTGTGAACTTATCTATCTAATAACAACCAAGCTAGAGACTCCGAGCTACCTCCTGCCGACCGGAACAAAAGAGACTCAAAACTAGAGAATGCCAACGTGACGATGCCAATGCACTGAAACAAACTAAGGGAACTAAATTTACTCCTCGTCGTGGTGGAAGATTATTTGGCCATTGTTTAGATATTTCAAATGTTCATTCATTCATTCTAAGCCTGGAATCGTCTTAGTGCCAAGAATGTGCACCGCGGGTTATCCCTCTCTTAGGTGGTTGTTGCGTAGCCGACAATCCTTGACCCTTGGAGACAACTGTGAGGCTGATACCCCACACCTTCCCGTATTTCAGACGACGCGTCTGTCCCCGAAGCTAGTGCAACTGTGCGCACCTACGAGGTACGAGGACTTTGTGCCTGGGTGCAACCCTTCTTACAGTGATGGTGGATAACACGAAGCCTCCATCTGTTCCCTGAGCGAAGCCAAAGCAACAGGGAAAATGTACGGGGGTATCGGTGCAAGAAACAGGTGAGCGACCCAATCGGTATCACTCTTACCCAACTTGTGTCGGATGCAACAGGCTTCTACTGGTCTGAAACGAAGAGAAACAGAGTCAGAATGGGACAAGGGTACAACTGCATGTTACGCACAGATACAAAGTGATGCACATAATGCTATGATGATAGAGATCAGAGTGTCTCTCCTTGCATACATTTTCACCAAAATTGGCGAATGTCGACGTGTGGATGCCCATACACCAAAACAAACTTAGGGGACCAAAGTTACCCGTCGCCGCTGCGTATGGTCTTTTGGCCAGTATTTAGATATCTTGAATGTTTACTCAATCATTTCAGGACCAGCATTATTTTGGTGCCACGGAGCTGCACAACAGCCCTCTCAGTAGGCCCATTCAAAAGACGTTTGGGCATTCATGTCATTTCACATGTCTTACCACTGGCACACTCAGAGAGTCAGTGGGCCCACTAGCCCACCACTGCTTCCTCCTTATTCACCAGTCCATCTCTCTTGTCGATGCACTTGCATTACCTACTACCTCTCCTCTGGCAACTAGACCCATACCGCCGTCTACTTTTACCTTTCAGGTGGTTCCCGAATAACGGTTCTTGCTGCCTTGTCATTCCCATTAGGGCGCCTACCCAGGCGGGAGTCGTGACAGACCTCTGATCGCTCCAGCCACCCGTAGCTCCCCAATCAATATACAAGTCGCAATCACTAACCCACAAAACACTTCCCTCAACGGGGCTAAAATCAGAAACGCAGGGGGGATTTTCGTGTCCGTTGCAGAAGCGAACCAAACAACATGAACCAAGCCCCAATAACTAGACGCGAGAGATCAAAAATTATGAGTTTCCTACGATTCAACCACCGATGTTGTATGAAAAGTGAATATTCCAAACTACCAGTTTCCTTTCGTTGACCGATTAACGCTGATTGTATCACATTACGCAAAATCTCGTTGAATGATGAGTCTCATCACCTTACTTTAGAAGTATTTGAAAAGTTAGAAACAATAACACGATTTGTTTTTATGCACCACCTACAAACAACTACTGCTAATAACCTTCGAACCCGCGTGGTTCAGTGTAGCATCTTACTTTGTCTTCTTGAATGAGTACAAAGTATATCGTTTGTAGTCTTGTGTTTACTATTGGATGTTGGACTGTTCCTAATGCCATGGAATTAATATATTCTCATTTCCTTCTTATTTGAATTGTGTTAGTAGTGTTTCGCTAAAAGTATAGCGTTGCGTTTTTCCTTGGTTGACGGGGCATGCAGCTTTTTCAGGCTTGACTGTTTAAGGTAATTTGCACGCTTCTGTACAGACGTTTTCGTCATTTAACTGTTAGTCAAGTAGTAACAGCAATAACATTTTTGAGATGAGTGGGGAATTTTAATTTAGATGAAGACTGGCGCGCTACTTGGATGGTGTCGTGCTTCGCTCGTCTCTCAGGTTTTGGATTTTTCCACATTGAAAAACTCCCACTTGCAATACTCAATCTAAAAAGATCAAACGTTTGCAGCACTTCTGTCCGTCGACGCACCTCACCCCTGCGTATTCGTCAGCTCACTTCTCAACAGTTGAAAATTGGCATTATTATTCCTTTAAACCAAACAGGTCTACCTCCTGTCACTGGTTCTTGGGCGTTTCAACTGCCAAACTGCCTTAGCTCTCGGTTCTCCTCGGAGGTCATTCCCCAGGAAATATCTTTCCTGGTTATACATACGCATCTGGAGCTTACGGTTAAACTCGTTGGTCAAGAGCAGAGGATCAAGTGACAAGTGTCTGAAGGTGAGCCAACATAAATTATCTTCCCTTTTCTATTCTGTCCTTTTGCTGCATTCAGTCTTCAACCCTCTTATTGTTGTTAACTACTTGTTTTCCCAAGAAGTTTATATCATAGCGACATGTCTGCCCAAAACGCTAGGTCTGAAGCTTTGACACGGATAACGCGGTCGTGCACAAAAACGGCCAGAAACACCCTAGACAACACACTAGTCTGTACTAGAAGACAAACAGAGGTAGGGCAGAACACCGAACTTCTGAAGAAGTGGCCAACCCATGTTTCTAGAATTCCAGTCGCCATCAGACAGGTGACACAGAGTAGCACTGGCCCGTCACAAACTAGTCCTATCTTGAGCAAGGATCATACCATGCCTGGAAATAGAAGACGACGTAAAAGGCTTCAGAACAAGGCAGCCACAAGCAGTTCGCCACAATCCGTAGCACCTTATTCATGGAAGGAAGGCTGTATTACGACACCCGATGGCTGCAGTGTTTGCACCAAAGTTGTTTCGGTAGTCGATGAGGCATTTGCATGCAACCTATGTCAACGATGGGCGCATTGCCACTGCGATACCAAAGTCCCCCGACAATACTATAAGCTGATGAAGAGACAACCATGCAAGTGGTTCTGGTACATCTGTCCAGAGTGCAGGAAAATGCCCGCACTCCGCACAGAAAGCCTGAAGGAGATGCTCTCCGCCACGCATCCTCGAATAAAGTAGGGTTAACACCAAAGGATAACACAGAGAGACCTGGAAACAGACCTAGAGCTCCAGCTGTGGGCACGCCACCTCGCGTGGGGACCATATTAGGTCAAGTCTCCATACCTCTTACCCGGCCCCAGGGGACGTCAAGCGCATGGCCAAAGACATCAATTGCTGAAGCCTCTACGAAACCCATTCCAAACATCCCACACACCGTGACTGAGAAACAACCAGTGGAATTACTCAAACCCATTGGGAAGTCGGGCGTGCCACCCACAACGAACCCAGGTCACAGGAGGACCAACTCGATCATTTTGTTCAACGTCGATGTATCGACAGACTCATTGTTGGTCGAGAGGGAACGGTTTGACAGCCGGATGTGGACCGACTACTGTCAGATGCTGGGACTCCCTCCCCTCCCTGCAACTTTGTGTCGCCTTTCTCGAGGAAGCCGTGCACCCCGAGATATGCCACCCCCTTTACGTGTGTCCCTAAATACCGCCAAAGAGGCTGAAGACACACTCCTTCTCTCGCGAAAACCGGACGTTGTTAATGCCTGTTAAATTCGGGCCGGGCCTGACAAGTCATGGTCAATAAGAGAAGAGGAGAGAAAGTCAGCGGTTGGAAATCCGAAGAGAAATAACACTATAGTTGTACATGGGATTCCATAATTGCCAAGTGACCGCTCGGTCAAAGATCGGTACTTTCACGACGTCCAACAATGGCAATGGCTCTCAACCAAAATTGGTCTCAACAGTATACCGGCCAACAGCGTCAGTAGACTGCCAAGGCCAGCGCACCTGAAGTCCATACCCAATCCCAGACTACTTGCCGTCCAGTTCGACTCATATGCCTCCCTCACAGACGTTCTACAGGCATGGTATAATGCGAAAGATCGCATGGGTGGCTCAATACGTATATGTGAAAGTAAGCCTAGACCCACAAGGCAAGAGGAGAGACGGCAACCACCAAAACCTCAGTGGTCGTCACACAGGCGTTGACCAGTGAGTTAGATACATCAAGTAAAGAAGCCACCACTGCTACAGCCCCCACCCAAGTTAAGAACAAAGCACAAAAAACGGAACAATGCCAGTCCTATGAGGACTGGCGAGGCTAGACCCAACTACGTAAGCGCTCATCCTACGAAAATACACATCCAGACCTCCCCTCTCATCAGGCACACTCTAATATGTATGTACAGCAACGTTAGGGGGCTAAGAGGGAATGTAGAAAAGATGAGGACGCTGCGTGAACATCAGCACTACGACATCATATTCATCACCGAATGCTGGCTCTCGCCAGACATCTCCGACGAAGAGATGCATGTTGCTGGCATGGAACTCTTCCGCAGGGACAGGGAACATAGAGCAGGAGGGGGAGTGGCTACCTACGTAAACTTCTGTTTAAAGGCAAGGATGCTTAGCGATACGGCCTTAACCCAGCTCCCAGAGTCTCTATGGTACTACTTCACTCTCTTCTTTATTCTCTCTTCATTCCTTTACCACTACCTTACTATTCTGTTTCCGAAACCTACACAGACAGAAGTCACGGCAGTTCCCTAGACTTTCCAGCAACCCGTAGCTCCCTAATCACTCTACACATTACAACCTACTAACCCACAAAACATCCACCTCACCGAAGCTAAAAGCAAGAAAGCAGAGATGGTTTCCTCGTCCACTGCAGGAGTGAACCGAACAACTGGAACCAAGCCCTAAGAACTAGACGCGAGAGATCAAAACTACCAGTTTTCTACCCTCGCACTATCACTATTGGATATTGGAAGTGTATCGTTTGTAGTCTTGTGTTTACTATTGGATGTTGGACTGTTCCTAATGCCATGGAATTAATGTATTCTCATTTCCTTCTTATTTGAATTCGATTAATGTGTCACTCAGCTGCAGAACACTCCTGCGTCTAGATGATTTGTGTTTGTAGGCGTGTTATTATGTCATGATTTAAGCTTCATTCTTCGATGGGACTAGCGTAAAAGAATTTGGTACGTTGTTTGGTTAGTGTAATAATTTTTCTTACGTCATGGCCGTAGGCATTGGTGTTTTGTTATGACATTTTCGGTTGAAGTATTTTTTACCTACGAATCTAGGAATCGCTTAAATTTCCTCTGACTAAGTGAAGTAAGGAGGCGCAGAATTAAGGTTAAGTTAATTTCTTGCGTCTAGGTAGTGTCAATGTTAAGGTGACAAGCTATAGCTAGTTATAGGTTGCTAGTTTAATGAATGCAGGATGTGTTTCATATATTTTATATTCGATGGGCATTGTTTCTGAAATGTCGGACTAGTTTTGGACGATTTAGTGAGACTAATCATGTTTAATGTTAACTATTGAAAAGTGAGCTATGAATTCCAGGTTGTTATTTTTGGTGATGCCATTAGTTTCCTGTCCTATTGGACTAATGTTGTATGTGTAAACTGTTTAAGCGAAGTCTGTTTCTAGGATCTGTTCTTCTTAGTCTGCTTACGAAGAGACATTTCACGCTGTTTTATGATGTGATAGTTTTGACAACTTGTGATTCAGAGTTTAGGCTTTGAGTATCTGATTGACGCGATTGGAAGTGGAAAGTAGCGGTTCTGGTGACTGTATTCCCTATTTAGGTAAATACTGAGGTTTGCAATAAGCTGATATATGAAAGAGACCTGGAAACCTGATGTAGTTCTGTCCGTACTCGTGGGTAGGGTGATGTTTAAATCATCCTGATCATTCAGAAGTGTTTTGGTCGAAATAATGTCGGCTGGTTGGGTGTAGTTTCACCTACTGAAGTGCGTGGTGTAACTTTCAAGTCTAACCGCAGACAAAATCAATTATAAAAAGTTGGTTTATTTGGATATAGAAATGTTGTGTGGCTACTAATGAAGTGGTATATGTTACCACACAACAAATGCAGATGTTAATAGTCTGATGGACTAAAATGGCTTTGGTTCCTGCAGAAGAATTGGTAGGTAATGTTGTTGTATTAAGAAGGGAGATAGTGAGTGGTAGTTAGGAGGGAGTTGTGGGCTAGTGAGGTTTGTGACTACCTGAGTACGTCTGTGGTAGTCCATGCGAGGTGACATAACTGTCTAGTCGTCTTTTGAATGAGTCGACTGAGGGAGCTATAACGATATGTCGCAGTAAGGCATTCCATAAAGCACATACTCTTAGGGAGAAAAATTTGGACCTGAGTATGGTGTTGGCTCTCTGGTGTGCTATCTTAATGGGGTTTGCTCGTGAAGATGGTTGAGTTGCAGGCAAAATTGATTTGTTTGCATGGTCTGCCTGATGGGCGATCTTGTATGCCATAATAAGGTCACCCGTTTTCCTGTGATAACCCAAGGTAAATAGGTTTAGGTGTTTAAGTCTTTCAGGATACGTCTTTCCTCTTAGCCCCACAACAGATTTTGTTGCAGTTCTTTGTATTCTTTCAAGGAGATTAGAGTCTGTCTTGAGTGTTGGAGGAGCCACCGTATTGAAGACCTCTAGATGCGGCCGCACGTAGGATTTGAAAATGGTGAGGAAGAGTTCGGGAGTGAGGGCACCAAGCTGTCTACGCAGAAAGTGTAGAATGGCGTTCACTCTGGTTGTCACACCTTTGTAGTTGGAGCTGGTGTCCAAGGTGTCGGAGAAGTTGAGCCCCAAATCTTTCTCCATGGACACTCTGGTGATAGCACGGTTGCTCAACATGTACTGGAAGTCGGTCGTACTTGCTTCATTTTTACTGATGTGCATTACTTTGCACTTTTCCAGGTTGAAGCTCAGGCCATTTTCCGACGACCAGAGCTCGAGTTGCTGCAAGTCCTTTTGTAGTGCTGTACAATCAGCTTCTTCGTTTACCACCCTCCAAATTTTTATGTCGTCAGCGAAGAGGAGGATGGGTGAGGATATTTTATCTGGCAGATCGTTGACAAACAGGAGGAACAGAAGCGGTCCTAGGATTGCTCCTTGGGATACTCCTGACGTCGAGGGTCTCCACTCCGACCTTATTCTGTTTACTTTAGTGCAGAACTGCTTCCCTTCCAGGTACTCCTTGAACCAAGAGAGTAGGGGTTCACTTATACCAGCTGACATGATCTTGTGAAGCAGTACTGTGGGTGGGAGACTGTCAAATGCTTTGGCTAGGTCGAGAAATACAACATGTACCGGTTTTCTGTTATCCCAGCTTTGTGTCCAGTCGTCCCAGACGGTTAGTAAGTTGGTGACACATGAGCGACCACTCCGAAAGCCATGCTGAGCAGTATGGACAGTGTTTTCCCTATTGAGGAATACCCAGATAGTGTCAGCTACCAGGCTTTCCAACACTTTCGACACAAT